CTGAAGATCACATCCTGTGTCTGTGTGAGGAGCCAAGTGGAGCTGATCTCCACCAAAAAGGAGAGTGTCCTATACCAATGGACTGTGTGATTGAACTTACATTCTAACTAGGAGGAAACTCTAGGATGGTTACACTGATTACTATGACTCGCTACACAGGATTATTATGAAGACCAAATGAGAATAAACAAACCGAGATTAAAAGGAAAAGGGAAGCTAGTTGACTCAGTGGACAGAGTGCTGGGCCTGGAACCAGGAAAACCTGAGGTCAAATCCAGTCTCAGGTACTTACTAGCTGTATGACCCTGAGCAAGTCTCTTAAATTAATGTTTGCCTCAAGTTCCTCATCTGTACAATGGGGATTATAGTAGCACTTATCCCCCCGGGGTTGTTGCGAAGATTAAATAAGATAATAATTGTAAAATAGTAGTAGTAGCAGCAGCAGCAGCAGCAGTAGTAGCAGTAGTAGGAGTAGTAGAGAGGGCCAACCTAGGAGTCATGAAGACCTGAATTCTTGTACTATCTCTAAAACATACTTGCTTAATGACCTTGGGTAAGTCACTTAATTTTGCAATGATCCAAGGCAGTTCTCTGAGATAATTAGTTATAAACAAATACTTCCACACAATGTAGATCTGTGCCAATGAAATCACATGTCTAGACCAAGCTAGCTAGATAAATAGGCAGATAAATGATTGATAGATATAAATATATACACACATTAAATATATCTACATAGGTATAGATACACATGTTTTTGTTTTTAACCACAAAGTTTATTATAATATAAATTATATATAGCTTAATAATTATAATTCCATAATAATATAAATTTATATATTTAACAATATATAATTACATATAAATTATAAAAAATTATCACTGTTAATAGCAATTTTCTCATTATCTTTACTATTCTAAACTACTAGAGGGTTTGCTTCTGCCCTAGGGATAAAAAAAGGAAGTTATACAAGTAGTCATCGTTTTTTAGGCTGATCTTACCCTCAGAATAGGCTAACCACATTTGTTTCTATAAGAGTCTATATAATGGCACAGACTTTTTAGGGATCTTAATACTTACTTGAAAGTTGTAATAATAACAAATATGTGAATATCAAAAGTATCTGTGATTTGACTTACAGGAGGGGCTTCTAGTGTAGGTGACTTTCTTAAGGTAACATAGCCAGTAAGTTTCAAAGGCAGGATCTGACCCTAGGTCTTACTGATTAAAAGTGTGACTTTCAGTGTGTCTTTATTTTGAAAATAAGCTCTCTCCCCTTTGAAATTCTCCTGCTCAAGAAATACTATGTCTCCAATCTTTTCCCTGGATAAGAGATGAGGAAATAACATTAACCTATGAAACCTTGAAAGAATCACTTAAAACTCCATGGGGCTGTTTTCCCATCTGCAAAACATAGAAGTTGGCTTTGTAGGATCACTTTAACTCTAGGCATCAGGGTATAGTGAAGAGTGTTGAATCTGGAGTTAAAAGAGCTTAAATTCTAGCCCTGCCATTTCCTACCTGTGTGACCTTAAACAAGAGACTTAACCTGTCTGGATTTCTTTCCTCATTTGTAAAATGAAGAGGTTGGATTAGGTGGCCTCAAAAGTAACTTCCAGCCCCAAATCTATAATCCTATGAATTTTGTAGTGGCAGCCTACTATTATAGCATTGCTAGGGCAGTTGATTATGCTCACTTGTTTTTCTTTGTTATAAGAGAATAAACAAAGAGAAGGGGGGAGATAGAAGAGAGGGCAAATTATGGGAAGGGGTATTCAGAATGCATGCCATCTTGGGGTGAGGGGAGGGATGAGATAGGGAGAAATTTGGAACTCAAAATCTTGTGGAAGTGAATGTTGAAAACTAAAAATAAATAAATTAATAAAGAGAATAAACATCTGGGGCATATTATTTGGAAATGACCCTCCCCAAACAAAAGGCATGGATAAAACTTAAAAACAAAACAATGAGTCTTAATAAAATACAAGCATCTGTAAATTGAGATTTGTACAATTCTTCTACCCAAAATATAATAAAGGGACTTTTTTCCTGTTTTTCTTTTCTTTTATGTTTCCCAGTAAGCAGCAGTCTTCTTAAAATGTCTTTCCAAAGAAAGACCTTCAATGTTCCATAAATGTGTGGATTTTGAAAATTTGTTTTACTGATGCCTTTTGTTTTTATATCAATCATGTCTGGATATCTACACATCACCCACTGACCTGGTGAACACTACCTTTCTTTCTAACAAAGAAAAGCAGTTTAAAAACAGAAACTGTCACAGAGATTGTTCCTCAAAATGTGTACAACATCATGCCCTCATAGCCTCCTGCCTCTCTGCCAAAGAAGGAAGCCATGTCTATGTTTTCAAAGACAATAAACAATGTTTTTTTCAAATCCATAAAGAGACCTCTGCAGTTTGGCCTTGTTTCTTACAAGGTAACCCATTTCTCACTGGGCTTGACAAGACTTCATCCTTGAAATTGTCCATGATCACCCTGAGTCAGAAATCATTTTTCTTTCCTTGGACTTCTCATAACATTTTGTGTGCATCTCTCTGATGAATTTACATTTTTATTTCTTTCTCATTTATATATATATATATAAACTTTTCATCAAATTTCTCTGATAAGTATATGATATCCAAAGATTTATAAGTAATTGATTCAAGTATATCAGAACTACGGCCATTCTCTAATGGTTAGTCAATGCATATGAATACATAGTTCAAAAAGGAAGAAATACAGGCTATCAACAGCTATATAAAAATGCTCCAAATTGTTGATAATAAGAGAAATATAAATTAAGGTTCTACCCTACATCCATCAGATTGGAAAAGGAGACAAAAAAGGAAATGACATTGGATGGTGGGATAGCAGGGAGAACTTTGAATTGTTGGTGGAACTGTAAATTGCTCTGGATTCTCTATCTCTGTCTCTCTCTTTCTCCCCTCCCCACCCTAAGACTTTTTTTCTCCAGGTTTTCTTTGATCTTTGCACATCCAGGACTCAAGACTCTTTGCTATCTTGCTCTCTTCTGTATAGTTTACTGAATCTCTTGGTGCTCAGAAGGAAACAAAGCACTCTAGATGAGTTCTGATGAGGTCAGAGTACAATGAGACTATCCTCTCCTTAATGGAAACTATCCTCTTGATGAAGTCTGAGATCACATTACCTTTTTTTTTTTTTGCTGTCATATCATACTACTAACTCATATTTACTTTGCAGTCCACTAAAACTCCCAGATCCTCTTCAGAACAACTGCTACCTATCCTTGTCTATACCATATTATATTTGCAAAGTTGATTTTTTTATACCCAGATTCGATACTTTATATTTATCTCCATTGAATTTCATATTATTAGATCCAGCCCCATACTCTAACCTGTCAAAATCCTTTTGGATCTAGTCATGTTATGTGTTAACTGTCTCTCCCATTTTTGTGTCATCTCCACATTTGATGGGGTATCATCTGTGGCTGTATCCAGGTCATTGATAAAAATGCTAAAGAACACAGGTCAAGTACACATTCCCAGGATGCTCATGTTAAAACCTCTTGCCATGTTGACACTGAGTCATCAACTACTCTCTGAATCCAGCCATCCATCCAGTTCAGAATCCATCTGATTGTTTTATCACCTAATCCACATATCTCTGTCTTTTCCACCAGAAGACAATTATATAATTTATCAATAGCTTGGCTAAAAATCTAGGTAACTATATCCACAACATTCTTCTCATCTACTAGTTCAGTAATCTTACCAAAAAAAAAAAGAAATAAGGTTAGTCTGGCTTGACCTGTTTTGATAAAGCCATTCTGGCTCTTTGTTTCTAATCATCATTTCCTTTTCTAGATACCTGCCAACCATCTCTTTAATGATTTATTCTATAATTGTATGAAGAGTCCATAAGGAATTGACAACCTAAAGTATATTCTGGAGAGACTGTTAACTTTAATAGCCAAAGAGAGGAGAAATAAAAAGGACTAGCAATTTATTTCCTCAAACACTAAGTTTAACTCTTACCTTGAAGAGATAACTGAAAAGGATTCTTGAGAGACTTTAATCAGTATAGTGAATGAATTTAATGGTGGATATATGTTTCCAGGAGTGAAGAAAAGTCATCTGCTATCAAAGTGAGCCTTCTAGGTGACTCATCACCTAGGTAGGCTTTCTCATCACCAAAATATTACATATAATTATTTATATCTTAATATTACTTTCATTGCCAACAAATTATACATTCAGTGTCATTAATATTTATTTAATCATGGGAAATTAAGGGATTTAATGTATTTAATACATATATATGGGAATAATTACTATTAGCAAAGGAAGTTTCTCAGTTTATGTGAAATAATTAATGAGCTGGAATTGGGTTTAGAACCAACTGATTAATGAAAAAGAGGTTGCAATATCATTAATTAATAAGAAAACATGAAAACATAGCCTAAGATTATTCTAGAATTGTTAATGATAAGATTAAATATGAGAATGGGTCAAATGGTAGGCCGAAGAACGAGCAATAAATGTGTTAGACCCCACAAACCACGGGAGATAGACTATGGATAAACTCTGCAAAAAAGGAACTCACAGTTTTAAATACAGTCCTATTTTTCTATTCTTTGTCTATTGAAATGTATGTTTGTTTATGTTTAAGTTCATAGTAAAAAGGACATTTAAATTTAAAAAGTACTTCCTGAGATCATCAAGATGAGAAATTTTGTGATGTTTTATGGTTTACAGAACAGTTTATCTATGTTGCCTCATTTGATCCTCACAAAAACTTATGAAGTAGGTGTAGGTATTATTCCCTCACTTTACAGATGAGGAAACTGAGATCCAGACAGGTTAAGTGTTACATAGGATTATACTTCTAATGAATTCTGCCAGTATTAGAACCAGCCTCTTCCTGACTTCAAATTTAAGTACTACCTCTTAATAAGATATAACTTGCTACTATCAAAAACATAATATGCTTCTTTTTCACTTTTTTCTGCCTAGATTCCTTCGTGGGTGGAGTAATTGGCCTCATTTTTGCTTATGTTTGCTACAGACAGCACTATCCTCCTTTGGGTAACACAGCTTGTCATAAACCTTACGTCAGTCTTCGAATTCCGAGCTCCCTGAAGAAAGAGGAGAGACCTACTGCAGAAAATGCTTCTGGGATGCCACTTGAGGGGATAACAGAAGGACCAGTATGACGGGTGCACAAGCACACTGAGACATTTTAGCCCTGGTCATATTCTCTATCTTTCCCCCCTTATAATATCATAGAAAAGATTTCTTATAATATGTTTTTCATCTGTCATTTTCTAAAGTTATCCTTTGAGTGATCTTCTCCTTCTTGCTTCCATTTGGCATTTGGAGTCTGTGCTGTTTGTTTGAGATATCTATTTTCAATTTAATTGAGTTGGCAAAGAAAATCAAAAACAAAAAAAGTATGTTTTTTTTTAAAAGAAGGAAAAAGCAAGCAAACAAACAAAAACCTACTACAGGTGTTAAAGAAAGCATCCAAGTACGACTGTGCTGTCAGCTTCACTTGGCCAACTCCTTTCTCTAAATGTAATGGCAACATTTCTTGTGTTTTCATGCTTGCAAAACAATAAAATCTCCACCCGAAATATCTTGTGCTCGTCCTCCCATATGGCAGCACTCTTCTGAGCTAATATGGACAACATTGTACTTTAGAGAGACCTGGCCAGTCCACCTCTGGCACGAGACCCACTTTGTCCTTCGGTAGTCTGGATGTCTATTCTACCACGTGAAACCTTGGAAGGTTTCTGAGTCATCGGATTGTGACAGCATCTGTTTCTCAGATGGACCAGAAAATCTTTGCTTTGGTCTCAGCATTTTCAGGGCTCTGTGAGCCATTAACTTCAGAGGAAATTGGTATAATGTAACTTCAAGAGTAGATCACCAGCTGCAATTATGAACTGATGAGGGGGAAGGGGAACCTCTGTTTTCTAGGGCTGCCAGTTTTTCAGAATCCTGCATCCAATAATCTGAAGTGTCTTATTTACTAGGTCAAGATGCCAGTAACTGAGGTCACAGCTCCCTATAACCCTTTTCAGGAACTGCTGATTTGTGCAACCATGCCGAACACAGTAGTATGATTCCTTCTTGTCCATTTTACTGAACAAAAACAGAGCCTTAAGGGAAAACTGAGCCAGGAGCTCAAGGTCACCAAATAAGAATGAGGCAGGACTGGTGTTGCAGTACCCTGCCTTTGAGTTCTGAGTTCTCTGTAATGCTCTATGCCTTCCCAGATATAAGGGACCCCCGACGGGATAACTAGTTTGTGTTTCCTACTCAATGGGGGTGTTTCAGAATGATAATAACTCAAGCAACAGCCTAAGTGAAGCATTTGGATTCTTCTATTCCCCTGTTTTCACTTTTCAGCATTGTCTAGGCACAGCAGTCCATGTATACACTTGATATAGAGCAGAATGCTACTTCTTAACCATTTTTTGAAGAGATACTATTCCATTCAGCTAAGTACATTTCTGGGCACACTTTGTGGCTCCTATAACCATGAAATGTCAGTGAAACCATTAATGTCCAAAAGAATGTCACTTTCCAGTAGCTGGCTAAACAAGCTATGTTTTCAAAAGACCTAAGCAGATTTATAAATTGATCCTTGACAGTGGGACAAGATACTGTCTCAATCAGCTGGCTGGAGGGATCAAGAAGGATTTGTCCTCCACTGCCTGCTCTGGCCTTTAAACTAACTAGAATGCATTGGCTGAACAAGCCATGTTAGGTGGGAATCGTGCTGCCAGTTACAAATCGTGGCCTTCTGCGTATGCATCACATCTGTAGTCATGTGGTGAGATGAGAATTCCTCTCAGAAGGAGACTCTTTGTAATTAACTGACTTTGGTCTGAAATCGATTGAGTCAACTCTTGAAAATATTTTCTCCATCACAGTAGAAAAGAATTTTAGAAACCAAAAGAAAGCAATACTCAGAGCAATTTATTTAGGACAAATATCTAGAAAACTGCAAGACTAAATAACTATGTCCTGATGCAACAAGAAACAGGTTGGTGTCCTGGTTAGGGTGGGCTTTGGCATCAGGAAGACCTGGATTCAGATTCTGCTGCTGACATATTCTAGCTAAGGAACAATGGGAAAGTTATTTAACCTCTCAGTGCTCCTAAGTGACTCTGGAAGACTATAAATAATAGCTGAGGTGCTGATATGCATTGGTGGAGGGAGTTTTCACAGAGGATGATGAAATCCTTCCCTCTTCCTCTCGGAAATTTTTTAAAATTACATTCATTTTATGAACAAAGGATGTTTGATGTGATTTTTCAATTGGATGTGGCCAGCAGAACCTACTTAATCTGGTGTTTTGAATCAAGGACCATAAGGGCTAAGGTTTAGTGAACAATGCCCTCTTACTTAGCAGGGCCATGAAAGATTTATAATGCAATTAAAGAGTGAAATGTACATGCAGCCTACTTATATTTTGTAGTGAATGGTCAAAAAGAATTTGAAAGGCAGCAAAGAATCAAGGACTTTTAATGGACATCGTTAAATGGAAAGTCTTCAAAAAGGCCATGTTAGAGTTTGATTAAAGAGCAATTAAAGTTATGGTGAGCATAATAACAGGGAACTTCAAGAAGGATCATAGCAATCATTACCAGCCCAAGTCAGCATAGAAAAGGCAAATTTGTGGCTCCATGTGTTTTAATTTCATGCTCTATTAATGTGAACGAAATGTGATGCTGTGTGCACCAATAAAACCACACATGAATGTGGATTTTTGTATATTTGCAAATTTTCTTTTTTTTGGACATGAGATATTACTAATTTAGTCATTTCAGTAATGCATTTTGATATGCAAAATAAATTTCATAAAATCTGCTCTATGACCAAAAAAAGAAATCAGGATAAGGGTAGAAGTCAACAAGCTGTTAATAGTCTGAGACTCAGTGAGTCTCCCTTCTGAGGAGGGGGGAAGGAAGAATGCTATCAATAGATCAGTAACTTGAGTAAATAAGCTTGTAGAAAGCTCCCACATAAATGCAGTAGTGAATACTGGCTCCCCATATAAACTGTCAATTTGGAAAGAAATAAGCATAAAAGTCACTCATGCAGGACAGTGGGACCAACTGCTCCCAATCACTGCCATCAGGGAATGATTGAAGGCAGCCAATAAACACTAACAGAGTGCGAGAAGGGGACAGAAATATCTTTTGGCTGATGACTTTTAAAGCACTAGACATTTGTTCAGAAGAGCTGAAATATGTGAGGCCTTTTGGGCTGGTATATTTCATAGGTAACAGATCATGATGGAGCTGAGGGCTCTGGAGCATCTCCTACATTTGTGATAGGGTCCTATTTCCCATATTAACTTTTTTTTATGAATTTGTATATTTTCCTGGGTTTTCTTTCTATGGGGTTCAGCATCCAGGAGTCTGGTTCTCTCTGTCTCTCTGTCTCTATCTCTGTTTCTGTCTCTCTGTGTGTGTGTGTGTGTGTGTGTGTGTGTGTGTGTGTATGTGTGTGAATGAGTGTGTCCAAAAGACTAGAGATCTCTGGGGAGAAATTCCATTGATCTCTGGGTAGTGGAAATCATCTGGAAATGCCACCTGGGTCAACAGATCACAATGAAAATTAGTGTCTAATGATGATAGCAAAAGCCAATTGGATGAGATTTTCCCACTCCTTCACAATGAGGAATTAGGACCAAGGGCAGGAGACAGTCTGTCACAGAGATCTCCTGGGGGTCCTGCATCTGGGCCTCAGTTGTACAGATTGAGAAACTTAATTTTACAAACATATAAAAATGGAATTGGTTAATGCTAGCCAAACTTACCAGAGCTATTGAGGAGCAGGAACGTAATTTCACTATTTTTAATAGGAAATACCTCTAGTCAAAAACAAAGTTCAGTTATTTGCCCAAGATACTTACTCTGTCCTGGGGGTTAGATCTACTTAAGCAATGAAATTAGAGATCAGAATTTGCTTGGTGAGTACAGAATCAGGGCAAAGGTCGTTGAGAGCTTTTAAGGGTTATTTTTATCAATCGAGAGTAGCCTGACAAATTACTTTTTACTTTAGGGATATTTCTATCTAAAAACTGGCACCCAGAGTACAGAGTACAGAGTACTCTGTCCACTCCTTGAACAGAGCTTGAAGTACACTGACAAATTCTCTCTCCTGCATTTGCCACTATAACGATACCTTTCTTTATTTCAGCAGACCATCACAGAATTCCCTAGGCTACTGATGAGTCTTTGTTGATTTTGTTTAAGGGTGGTTGCATCCTAGTGACATCCATTATTTGTCAGTCAACTATAATTTATTTGGTGCTTATTATATGCCAGGCCTTTCGCTAATTGCTGGAAATAGAAATACAAGCTGAAAGAAAAACATTCCTTGCCCTCAAGAAGCTTACATTCTAATGGTTTTATTATTGAGTGTGGCCTTTTATATTTAGTACAATACTTCCAATAACCAAAACTAAAGAAGGGCCAGTCTTAATGTATTTTAATAATGTGGGTCATTTGTACCATCAGCATCAAACTCAAAGGAATCTTAGACATATGGTTAACACCTTATAAGTATTTAACTGAGATTTGTGGTTTCAGCTGTCTGGGTACTACCTTCAGTTAACTCAACTCAACAAGCATTGCTTAAGCACCTATTATGTGTCAGGCCCTGTGCTTGGCACTAGGTATACAAAGTCCCTACCATCAAGAAACTTACACTTGTAGATCATAATGGTCTACACAAGTTGTCGTGTGTCTCTGCCCTCCTGTTCCTTCTCCCAAACACCCCTCCTCATATATCTAGTGGCCACCCTTCTAATGATGAGTGTCTCCAGGCATAACTTACTGGAGCTTATAAAACATACATGATCTCTTACTTGAATGAAGCTTTTCTAAGTTGGTAGGATTGTGCTGTACAAGCCTAGTCTCAGAACCCAGAACCACCTTCAATCCATGAGAAGAAGCAATGGTGTGTATATAGTGGGAAGAGCACTGAGCTGAGAGTCAAGAAGACCTCCGTTTGAGTCTCACCTCAGACACTTTACTGACTGTGTGACCCTGGGAAAGTCTCTCAATTTTTCTCTGCCTCAGTTTCTTCATCTGAAAAGTGAGAAGAATAATAGTCCCTACCTATTGAGAAGAGCAAATGAGGTCATGTATGTGAAGTGCTTCAAAAACTTTGAAGTGCCACATAATTGACAGCT